AGGTATCTCTGTCTTCCAAGGCGAATGGAATTTAAATACATTTTTTTTTTTTTTGGAAATTGGATATTTTTTTTGGTGGGTGGGAGTCGTTTCGCAATAAAATACACATATCAACAGTTGATTTTATTTACAATGAAATAAAAAGAGACAGGTGGATACATAAACAGCTGAAGAAGATCAGCTAAGAAAGAAAATAAATAAATAAAGTTTAAATCATCACGCTCCCTGCTTCAACAAGCATCGTTTCACCGAAAAGAAATAAATAACCAGGATTGAATCCCTTTTGGAGAGGCGCTGAATGCACAAGACGCTCTCGAAACAAAAGACAGATAGTCGATACGATGTTCAGATGTTCGTGGTTGTGTGGAGATTTCTTACTCTACTAAATAACAAGAAATTAAAAACATGGATACTCGGCGTGTTCGTTACGAGTGTGTGAAGAAAGGAGATTTAAATATTTCGTGTGAAAGAAGAATAAGAGAGATGAGCGAACAAGAGAGAACGAGAGAAAAAAAAAATAAGAAAATCTAAAAGACAAAATCACAAGCAAATGTATCGTTTCACAAGAGGGGAAGAATCGGTCTGTCGGCGCCGTTGAAGTCCTTCGAAGCCTCCTTACTTCCTGTCGTCGTAGTCAACATCCTCCAGGGACACGAAGGATCCCTGGTGGCCGTCAGCAGCAGTTCCGTCAGCGCTGGCGGGGACGGCGTTGGACTCGACGATGCGGTAGCCGTCGTCGTCAGCCACGTACTTGACGAAGTACTGGACGCCCTCGGGGGAGGTCCAGCTGGGAGGAGGGAGGGAGGGGGGAGGACTGTTAGTTTTGTGTGTTTGTGATTTGCCAAAAGATCCAGTGATTTTTTTATTTCATCTGTGTTATTTTCCTTTTATCGTTAATGTTGTTACTTAAATTGTCATTATCATTACCACTACTACTGTTATTATTATTTTTTATATTATCATTACCTCTGTTCTTACTATAATTATCCTAATTCTGTCTAAAGTTCTAAAGAATTTCCAAGGTTTCTCAAATTATCAAGAAATAAATCCTGACAGTAGCTCGAGCTGAATGTTTCCCAAATATCTCCAGTTATTACCATATCATAATCACGGAAATAATCACTCTCTCAAATTGTAAAATTAAATTTACCAATGATAAGAATAACCAGTTTCACATTAATCATCAAACTCCAGCTTTTCAATAATTCTAGGACCAAATTCGCCAATAATAAATAATCTCCGATTTATCAGGTCCCGCATTTAGTCCCCTAGTTTACCGATTTATCTGTCACTGTATTTCAATTATTAATTTAACAGCCACCATCATGTAACCGAGCAGTTATCTACTTATCATCGGCCGCATTTAGCCAGCAAGTAATCAATCTACCAATCACCACATTCAACCAGCCAGTTATCGATTCATTAATCACCGCATTTATCCAGCCATTTATCGAGTTATCACTTGCCATACTCATCCGGTCATTTATCGAGTTCTCAATCACCGCACCTCAACCACTTATCAAATCATCCGTCACCGCATTTAATCAGCCAATAATCGACTCATCAAATCATCCGTTACCGCATTTAATCGACCAGTAATCGACTCATCAACCATCATATTCAACCAGCAATCGACCCAAATTTATAAGCTCCCGCATTCATCCCAACCAGCGATCGACCTGCGACTCACGATCTTCCAGTCTACCAGCGACGGATCTACGACTCACGACCTACCAGTCTAGCAGGGGCGTCTTACCTGTAGGTTCCCTGGGCGTTGGCTCCTTCGATGTTCAGGTCATGGTGGATATCGTCGAGGTCGAGCTCGAGGTCATCGGCCAAGGTGAGGGCGAAGAGGGCGAGGAAGACAACCTGGAGGAGGGGATGGAGGGGTAAGGAGGACGTCTGAAGAAAGTGTTGATTTAGGAAAGTAAATAAAAAGTAAGTTTATAAGTGTTGATTTAAGAAAGTAAGTTTATGTGCTGATTAAAAAGGTAAGTTTATAAGTGTTGAATTAAGAAAGTAAGTTTATATGTTGATTTAAGAAAGTAAGTTTATGTGTTGATTAAAAAAGTAAATCTATAAGTGTTGATTAAAAATGTAAGTTTATAAATGTTGATAAAAAAGACAAATAATAAGTGTTAATAAGTGCTAATTAAAAAAATAAAGTATCCTAAGAAAGTTTTGAAAAAGTGTTAAGTAGTCAGCGTGAAGGAAGGTTAAGAGATGTTTTGAGAAAGTAAAAAAAAAAAAAAAAAAAAAAAAAAAAGTTAGATAAGTGTTGCCAAAAAATAATTCGAAATGATTAGCTTAGAAACTAAACAAACGGTTCATCGTGACAAAGCTGGAAAATACATGAATTGGCACGAATAATTCTAAAGATGATATACTCGTGAGGTCAGTTGCAGAAATTGCATGACCAACTTCGTGAGGTTGCATTCTTTCGTACCTTCTTACGCAATGAGACGAAGGCAAGAAAACGGATTAAGAAATAAACTGAAATAACTCAACACTTTGATAATGAGAACAATTAATCGCTTAGGATAGAAAAATAAAATGAATCTCACAAGAAGCTTATGTTAATTTCTTGAGGCTGTTACGTAGATTCTTAAACACAAAAGAAGAGTAAATGATTTTTAACTGCGATGATGTTTTGATAAATCTATAAACGATGAGACCAAATCGAAATATAAGATCGGATTCGTTCCAGGCGGTTTGCTATAATGGATATGAATAAAAATGAATAAATGAGTAAATTACATCAAAAGGAGTTTTATAAGTGTAACAATTTGTCGTTTCTAAGCGTAGTGTCATAAGAGAATGAAAATGCAGATACACATTCGGATTCGAAGGTAAAACTGCATTTGTACGATTTATAGTGAACTGTAAAGTGAAATATATACTTGTGTCCGTCTTTGGTTACATTTGGAGTGATAAAGGAACTTATGAAATATTAGGTTAGATTTATGTTCATTCTTACGCCGCCTAATGCAGAGATTCAAATCAAATAACTTAAATCTGACAACATTTTGAAAGGCAAAAGATCGAACCAAGAGCACATCGCCGATTCCTTTCCACTAACATTGAAAGAATACACCTTTCTTCCTTTGTACAACCGATCACCGCGCTCCCCATAAAACACAAAAACAAGAACAAGAAGAGAATATCATTCTCTCAACTCACTGCGAACTTCATGATGGCTTTGAAGAGAGGGTGAGTGTGATGCCCAAGCAGTGTCTTCTTGCAGGTTATATACCCTTCACCAACGGGCCTCCATTCACCCTTCTCTCTCTCTCTCTCTCTCTCTCTCTCTTTCCCCCTCTCTCTATCTCTCTCTTTCCACGGCCACGCAATCTTGACCTGACTGGGTCACTCACCTTTCCGTTCTCGGGACCGCTTGCCCTTTGCAATCCCTGCCCGTCTGAGGTCACAGAAGCACGTGCAAACGAACACACGTACAGGCGTCGCGAACTGGTATAGGTTGGTTAGTTAAGTGTGTGTTCCCGAGGGGGCTTTACTTACGCCCTCACTTCTCTTTCCCCTTCTTTAGCTGTGAATATTTTTATCTATATTTATACTTTTATCTATATTCATATTTATAATCATTCGGTTTTTCTATCTTTATGTATCTGCATTTATATTCCTACCTATGACTTTTATATATCTATTTTTCCTCACTATCTATCGATCGATTCTAACTCCCCTGCTATCTCCCCCTCTCCTTTACACGTCCTTTCCTTTTTTTGATAAAGGCAATCTCTCATTCGACTCACACACCCTCCGTAAACCCATATTATTCCATCCCAACACGTAGTTCCTCAGGCATCCCGTTCACTGGTCCTCACTCAGTGTGTTACGTCACCCTGACCTATCATAGCCTTACATGCAACGGAGCAGATGGTCTTATTACAAAAGCCTTTTACCTTTACTTGATGATTATAACACACCGCACGCTAAATCACATGGCATAACCTCTGATTCTCTCTTTTGTTTCAGGTAGTTCGGTCTTTTTTGTGTTTGTCAATAAGGGGATGATTTTTTTTTTTTTTTTGGACAGAGAAAGGGATACGTGGAATATCGTCGACTTTTTACTTATCTTTATTTGCTAACTTATTTTTAATCAGTATCACTTTGTATTCATTTATCCATTAATCCATCTGTTTATTTATTAGCAACTAGCATACGTCACTGACTGGTTAGATCGACTGTTTAATCTGCCTGTGTTAATTGGATCTCCTTTGTTAGACTTTGCCTCTGCTGTATACATTAGCTTTGTAAGAGTGTGTTGATTAGATGACAACCAGTTATAGTAGAAAAAAAAGGAACATTGTCGTATAGCTACAACTTTACTGAATTTACTATCACTTCTCTGTTACTTGCAGTTTATCTCTCTTTTTTTTTTTTTTTGGACAGAGAAAGGGATACGTGGAATATCGTCGACTTTTTACTTATCTTTATTTGCTAACTTATTTTTAATCAGTATCACTTTGTATTCATTTATCCATTAATCCATCTGTTTATTTATTAGCAACTAGCATAGTCACGGATCTGGTTTAGATCGACTGTTTAATCTGCCTGTGTTAATTGGATCTCCTTTGTTAGACTTTGCCTCTGCTGTATACATTAGCTTTGTAAGAGTGTGTTGATTAGATGACAACCAGTTATAGTAGAAAAAAAAAGGAACATTGTCGTATAGCTACAACTTTACTGAATTTACTATCACTTCTCTGTTACTTGCAGTTTTCTCTCTCTTTTTCTCTGTCCCTCCCCTCCTCTCTCTCTCTCTCTCTCTCTCTCTCTCTCTCTCTCTCTCTCTCTCTCTCTCTATCTATCTATCTATCTATCTCTCCCATCTGTCACCTTCCATTATCATATACTGACAGCTTAATTGTTTTACTTAGTTTTGCTATTACGTCTCTATTACTTACTAATTCTCTCCTTCCTTCATTTCTCCTCGCATTCTCTCTTTCTTTCTCGCCCCGTCGCTGTCTCTCTCTCTCTCT